ACTTGTGTAATTCCCTTATGTGTTTACACTGATAAACCTCAGGATACATGACTTTGAAGTAACACATAATGATGTACGAAGGATTTCTCAACACAGTGAAGCTGAGAAAATTAATTGACAGTCACTTGCCATGTGCGGGGGCCAGGGACGTGGCTCACTGGCAACGCAACTGCCTGGTAAGCATGGCATCCTGACTTGGACTCCCAGTACCACGCCCCTCCCAAAAGCTGGAAGTGCTGTAACAATGCCTACAGCAACAGTTGTGTATATCTATGTGCACAGGCCAAGAAGCAAAGACGAACACCCGATAAGTTGGTGAATTCTGTGGAACAGGAACTTCATGTCAACCAAGCCACTGAAAGAAAGAAGGTAGGCTGTTCCTCCCTCAAGCCTTTTATTGCTATGCATTCCGAAAACATCCACTGTTACTCATCTGTTCAAATATTCAGCAAGCAGTCAGTGAATGATGCTGAACCCAACACGAGTGTGAACACACGTGGCAAAGGAGGATCGGTTAATTCTTCCTGCATCATCATCTATGTGCATTTTAAATAATGACTTCTTTCGGCCATAAAAGTGTTACACATGCTTAGGAAAGGGGGACGACAGGTGCTACAGAAAGGCAAACCTGAGGTGATTGGGAAGTGGGATTCGGTCGGCCTCGTTTCCTCTGATGTAAGAAATAAATTTCCACCATAAATGAAATAAAAAGGAGTAAGAACCCTAAAGAAATCCAGAAGTCTTAATACAGGGCTCTCGCAGGTGCTCTGGTATTAAGTGAAAACCAAACAGAGAACACTTTCCGAACACCTTCTCTGTGCACCTAGTCCTTCTCGACGGGAAGAAGGCCTGGACGCTTACAGGGAAGCCCGCGCCACCTGACGCAACTCACTGCATCTACACTAGCACACACACGGGCGTCATCTGCCACAAAGCATCTCAGGTCCTGACAGACCTCGGATGTGACTGTGGTCCCGTGCGATTCTGTCACCTACCGATGATGCCACAGCTGTCCTCAAGGGGTGTCACCATAGCACCCCATCAGGTGCACGCCACGATACAACTGCTAACGGTCCACCTCTCAGAAGGAACCTCCGCTGAGCTCAGTTATATATGATTGCATTTGTAATCATACATTTTTAAAGTAATTCCATTTTTACATAAAAATTATTTATACAGTTTTTCTTTTCCAATCAGATTTTTGGTACATTTTGGGTATATATGGTAATGCCATTCACCAGAGAGCATTTGTACCTGTATGTGAGCTAACTTATTTCTTTTTTTTTTTGACGGATATCTCTAGACCCCCTTCCACCTTTCCTCCCCTTCCCATTAACTAAAGCTTTGTTTCCATTTTTTGCTTCTTTTTTTCATTTTCCCTTACTTTTCCCTTCCACTCTCCCCTCCCGAGTTCAGCTTCCCATTTGAATATTTTCTTCCCAAAATGAGTATTTTTTCTTATCTTTTTTTTTTTTTTTGGTGGAACCGGGGATTGAACTCAGGCCCTTGCGCTTGCCAGGGAAGCACTTATTCCACTGAGCCATCTCCCCGGCCCCCATTTTTTCTTATCTTAAAGAGACAAAAGATGAACAGGTTAGTAACAGGTTAAGGTTGGTAGGTTAGTAGGATAGCTATGATAGTTGACACATTAGTTGTTATAGTAGTTGAAACACTGAGTTTCGAAACAGGTTCGTTGGGCAGTTACAATAGCTGATACAGTGTATACTGCTGTCTTCAATCAGCTACTCAGAATACAAGACAGAGGCGTGACACCTCGTTTAAATAATATATACACAAAGCATTCGTTTCCAGGAACTAAGAGAATCTAGGTGTAAACTACGGTAACGATCTCGTTTACACATTTTTTTTTTCTTTCTCCCTTTCATCCTTTCCCCTTTCCCACACTGCTGTTTGTCCTTTTTTTTTTTGTAGTATTTTTCCCAGTTCACAATATCTGCTGTATGTCCTGGATCCTATTTTCTTGTTCAATTTCTCACACAGTGAGACAATGCAATGGGCAAACTTACATACTTTTTAAATAATTATGTTTAAATTGTTATATGCAGAATTCCTTGAAAAATAATCTCCCTAACAACTGCAGAAAAGACTCCCGTTCGCCTGTGAGAAGGCAGCAGAGTGAAAAAGCACCCTGTACTTACTTATTTATTGTCTTTTCGAGACAGAGTCTCGCTATGCGGCTCAAGCTGGCCTGGAGCTCACACTGTTAGCCCAGGCTGGTCTCAAAATCCCAACGGGCCTCCTGCCTCAGTCTCCCAGGCACTGGGATTACAGGTGCGAAAGCACCCTTTAAGAATCGTTGTCCTGGGCCAGCCAATAGCTCAGCAGATTAGAGCACCTGTTTAGACAGGCCCAGGGACCAGGGTTCAACCTCCAGCATGCCGTGCCAGCCCCGCTCCTGGAGCAGGCTGAGACGATGACTGAGACTGGGCACAGAGGCGCACTTGGGAGGCTGAAAATAGGAGGACCACTAGGAGTCCAATCTGTGTAGTGAGACCCTGTAGTCCCCTGTACTAAAAACATTAAAAAACAAATATCTGTTGTCCTAGATGGAAGAGGTGGTGCATGCCCTTTACCTGACCCCTCACACTCTCTCTCTCTTTCCCCAAAACCTTGCTCTTAATACACAGAGGTGGCTATGGTACAGAGTTAGTAGCTGTATCAGTAAATGACTCACAGGATCGGGTCT